AGAAAAAAGGTCACTTAAATATACAGACCATTAACAGAAGGAAGAAAGAAGAATGCAAGAGAAGATGCTAAATTATGGAGGAAGCTGAGAGGTTTATGGGACTATCTTAGTCAGCTCTTGCTGCTATAACAAAAATACCTTAGATTAAGTGGCTTAAACAATAAATTATTTCTGATAGTTCTGGAGGCTTGTAAGTCCAATTTCAAGGTGCCAGCAGATCTACTACCTTTTCACTGGATCCTCACATGATGAAGAGAGAGAGATTATTGTGCCTCTTTCTTTTTCACTAATCTTATTTTGAGGGCTCCTACATGACCTAACCTAATCCTAATTACTTCCCAAAAGCCCACTCTCAAATACTGCCACATTGGGGATTAAGGTTGCAACACGTGAGTTTTGGGTGGACACAAACATTCAGTCCATAGCATGGGCTCTCAATATTTTATAGGGGAGGAGTCTCAAAGTCGAGGTCTCCTTCTGGATGTTCCCAAGCAAAGCACCAAAGTTCAAGGGAGTATTCTTTTTGATATGGGAAGATCTGTGATTGTTTGAAAGTAAGAGAGAAGGAACCAGGACATTCAGGAGAAGATCAAATGTCATGAGTAAGGAGCAAGACACAGAGGTAATCCTTTATGAGGAAAGAGGTCTCCCATTGACTGAGGCTGGAGGAAACATGGGTAGATTGGAGAAAGAAAATATTTGGAGATACAGGTAAGGAAACATGGAAGAGTTTATTGTTAGGTGATACTTTCCAGTGAAGAAAGAGGCACAGTTATCTGGCAAGGGTGAGACAGGAGGCAGAAGCGGGATTGGGGCTTGCTTGAGAGCAAGAAGAATTTGGTACAGAACAGTGATTGCAGATCATGTGCCTATGGCTCAGAGGTCTTCCATGAGCAACAGGTTTAAAATAGCCCCTCATCTCTGCCATGACTCTTTGTGTTCTTACCCCATTTTATTTACTTGCTTGGATTTATCACTGTGTGAAATTATCTTAATTGTTGATGGGAGCAAAGCTTAGGCACCAACAACCCTCAGGACCTTCCATACATTGATCATATTGTCTTTTCACTGACCCTCACCCCTCTCATGTTCTTGCTTCCCTTCATATCCTGCTTAAAATTCATGGTCAATCATGTTAACCATTTTCTTGCCCCTCTTCATTGTATTCTGTTGTTATTGTTGAAATACCATAACTCTGATATACTTCAACTCTTCACCCAATCCAGCTCTTCATCTACTCTGTACTCATAGAAGCTGAAAATGGTTGGAGAAAAAAATATGCAGCTTTGTTAACTGGTCCCTCTTTAAATTTGTGACCATTAACTAAAGTGGATATTTAATGCTGCCAGTCAAAATATGACTAGACCATTCACCTTCCTAATTCTCTCAGATGACTACTTTATTTTTCCTCCTCTCTACTTGTCTCTAGCTTGTCTTTGCTCATCCTTACTTCAGCAGATGGCCCTGTTTCCTATTTTACTATTACAATAGAAACATTTGAGACAGAACTGCTACATTCTCCCACCATCACATGTACCCGTTTGTCTCTATATGTGCTACCTTCTCTCCTGTAAATAGATGAACTACCCCTGCTTCCAGCAAAGACCAACCTCTTGCCTAGAGAACCAGATCTCATCCCTCCTGCCTATTCAAGGACATTGCTTTAGCAATTATCCCTTCTGTATCTGGTATAATCACTTTATCTCCCTCTCTATCAGATTTTTCAGCCTATTAACATACTATTGTTTTTTTCATCTTGAAAATGTCCACTCCTGACTTCACCTTCCCCTCCAGTTTTTATCCATTTTCTTCTTACTCTTTACAGCACAACTTTTCAAGAGTTATCTACAAGTCATCTCCGACTTCTCTCTCTGTGTCTCTCTCTTTATTTTTACTTTTTAATTTTTTTATCAGTGTTTATTTATTTATTTAATTTATTTATTTTATGGTGACACTGGTTAATGAAATCCGGTAAGTTTCAGGAGTACATTTTAACAGTAAGGCATATATATATATATTTACATTTCGTGTTCACCTCCCATAGTTAGATTTCTTTCTGTCACCACATATTTGGCCCTCTTTACTCCCTCCATCTACCTTCCCCTTCTCCTCCTCCCCTTACCCTCTGGTAACCACTGGTCTTAGTCCATGTCCATGAGTCTCTGTTTGTTTGTCCTGTTCATTTGTTGCTTTGAGGTTTATATCCCACATATAAGTGATATCGTGATTTTTCACTTTTTCTGTCTGGCTTATTTCGCTTAGCATGATTACCTCGAGGTCCATTCATGTTGCCTCAAATGGCAGTATTTCATTTCTTATGGCCAAGTAATATATGTATATATGTACCACAGCTTCTTTAGTTAATCATCTATTGTAGGACACTTCGGTTGCTTCTATGTCCTGGCCACCATGAATAATGTTGCTATGAATATCGGTGCAAATATTATTTTGGTTGTGAGTTTTCAAGTCTTTGGGGTAAATATCCAGTAGAGGGATTGTTGGATCATATGGTAGATCAATTCTTATTTTTTTGTGGAACCTCTATGCTGTACCGATTTGCAGTCCCACCAACAATGTATGAGGGTTCCTTTTTCTCATCTTCTCAAACACTTGTTATTACTTATCCTGTTGAATACAGCTATTCTAACAGGTATGAGATGGTATCTCATTGTGGTTTTGATTTTCCTAATAGTTAGCGATGTTGAGCATCTTTTCATATATTTGTTGGCCATTTGTATGTCCTCTAGGTAAGCAGTGTCTGCTCAGGTCCTCTGCCCATTTTTTGATAGCATCATTTGTTTTATGTTGTTAATGAGTCATATGAGTTCTTTGTATATTTCGGATATTAGGCCCTCATCAGCGTCATTGCTTGCAAATATATTTGTCTATTTAGATGGTTGTATCCTTACCTTGTTGACGGTTTCTTTTGCTGAGCAGAAACTTTTTAGTTTGATATAGTCTCACTCATTTATTTTTGCTTTTACTTCCCTTCCTTTGAGGTCAAATTCATAAAATCCTCTTTAAGTCCAAGGTCCTTGAGTGTAGTTCTTATGTTTTCTTCTATGCATTTTATTGTTTCAGGTCTTATGTTTACATCCTTAATCCATTTTGAGTTACTTTTGGTGTGTGGTGATAGACAATAGTCTAGTTTCATTCTTTTGCAGGTGGCTTTCCAGTTTTCCCAGCACCATTTACTAAGAGGCTTTCCTTTCTCCACTGTATGTTATTGGCTTCTTTGTCAAAAATTATTTGCCCATATAATTGTTTATTTCTGGATTCTTGATTCTGTTCTACTGGTCCATGTGTCTGTTTTGCTGCCAATACCATGCTGTTTTGATTACTGTTGCTTTGTAGTATAATTTGAAGTCGGGCAGAGTGATGCCTCCAGCCTCGTTCTTTTTTCTCAGGATGGTTTGGCAATTCAGGGTCTTTTGTGCTTCCATACAAATCTGATGATTCTCTCTACCTTTTTAATCTTGAGTTTATTTTAGTGAGGCTTTTTCTTTCACCATTCCACCAAAAATGCTTTTGTAATGGTTATCAATGACCTCTATGTTGCTGAATTTGGCAGGCACCTCATCTTTGGCAAGACCTCATCTTGCCTAATTGTCAGACCTATTGAACAGAGTTGACTGCTTATGTTTTTCTGAAGACTCTTTTCACTTGGCTTCCTGGACACCGTGTTGTCCTAATTTTCCTCCTACTTCAAGGATAAGTCTTTTCTGACTTCACTAGGGAAGCTTCCTCACAACACCTGCAGAGCTCAGGTCCTGGGCCACTTCTGTTTTCTATGTATACTAACTTTCATGGTGATCTCATCTTGTATAATTGCTTTAAATGCTGCACATAGTGTATACTTATGATTCAAGAATTTATATTTTGGAAATTCTGCTTCTGGTCATGAGGGTTAACAGTGTCCAGGATTATCCCCCCATCACAACTGCAAAATAGGACAAAAACATGAAACACCAGTAGCTCAGGACTGTGATTCCTCAACTTATCATAGTCTACCTTCAAATAATTTTATACCACTTTACCTATGATTTAAGAAACTCATCACAATATGCTTCAGTTTACCTCTTCTTGCATTTTTTTTTGCTATAGTGTCATACATGCTTTTGCATATGTTACAAATTACTTCCACAGATGCAACAAGCTTTACAAAACATTGTGATTATTTTTGCTATAAATAGTTAAATTTTCTTTTGAGGAATAAAAAAAATGCTTTTGTATTTTTTCTTTCTAAGGGAAACCTTGATTTTGCTCATTAGGCTTTTCAACTGATTGGATGAAGCCCACCCACATTATCAAGGATAAACTCTTTTATTTAAAGCCAGCTAATGTTAGATGTTAGCCACATCTACAAAATGCCTGCACAACAATGTCTAGATTAGTGTTTGATTGAGTAAGTGGGTAGCCTAGCCATGCTGACACTTAAAACTAACCACCATGGTTCACCTCTTATTAACATGACACCCGTACTCATCTTCTTAAACCATAGTTAAGTTCAAATAATGGCAGTAACAAAGCCATATTTTTATCTAACATGATACAACTATTCTGCATATACCAAATATGTGGTTGTGTGCAGAAGAGAAGGTGGTGTTGAGTGATGTTCAATCTTCTCCATATCCTAGAATTTAAATAATATAATTAAAGTTAACTCTTATTAATATATCCATGTTAGATTACAAGGGGAAAAAAGAGAGAAGAAAATAAAAATATTTGATATATACATAGAGACATATTGATAATAAAATAAGGAAGAAATACTCATAACAATTACATATCTGCAACTGATCGATCATGTGATTATATTTACAACAACTTGCTTTTACTATTTATCCCATATTCTCTCAGAACTGGTCATGGTTCTTTACCTGATGAAGCAATCCAAACTTTTATTCCAAAAAGGACTGGGCCATTAGTAGTCCTGCCTGCACTGGATTGTGGTAATTTTCCCTTGGGGAGGGTAGTACTAAGAGACCCTAAAGGATCTCCTATATTCCAAGCATACTCTTCGTTCTCTCCACCGTAGCGTAGCAGTCAATTTCCCCTTGGTAATCAGGATTGATCACCCCAGCTGATACAATAACTCCCTACTTTGCCTGTTGATTCAGAGGCATAAGGATCTCAAAGTAGCTGAGAGGTAGCCTTAACTGCCAGGTCAAGTGAATCATTGTTGTATCTACTGGCGGAAGCATTCATCTCTTTGGAACTAAAACCTTTAGACCAGCAGAGAATAAAGTCATGGGGAAGGAAGGAACACTTTTGCTAGTGAATCAATAGGAGTAAGAGTGAGTGGTGCCACTCTTATTTCCGCCCCTTGATTCCTGAACCTATGAACCTTGGCTATTGGAGAAACAGCACCATGTATTAGATGCTGACTTAGAACAAATACAGACTCCTGAGAACCTTGCCCCAGCCCTGCAAGAAATTGACACCTAACTGGTGCTGTAGCTGAGTCTTCAAAAGGCCATTTCACTATTGTATCAAGCCAGCATCTTCAGGATGAAAGGAATATGGAAAGATGAGAAAATTTCATAAGCATGACCCACTGCTACACTTCCATTTGCTGTGAAGCGAGTTCCCTAAATGCATTGCTGTGTGGAACACCAGGGTAATGAATAAGGCATTCTATAAGTCCATGGATGGTAGTTTTGATAGACTTTTGCATGAAGGGAAGACAAATCCATATCCATATTAAGTTTCTACTCCAGTAAGAATAAAGTGTTGTCCCTTCCATGGTGGAAGTGGTCTAGTGTAGTCAACCTGCTATCTGAGAGCTGAATGAATCACTCTGGGGAATGGTGCCTTATCAGAGACTCTGGTTTAGTCTAAGCTATTGGCAGATTGGGCACTCAGAATGGCTGTAGCCACCTAGGCCTTGATTAGTGGAAATTCATGTTGAGCTCACGCATTACCTCCATCCCTGTCACCATGACCACTTTTTTTCATGAGTCCATTGAGCAATAAGAGTAGTAGCTGAGGAAAGAGACTGACTGATATCCATAGAAAAGGTCATCTCATCCACTTGATTATTAAAATCCTTTGTTGAGGCTACCCTACGGTGAGAAGTCACATAAGGGACAAGTATCTTCATTTATTTTTTCAATTCCAAAAATTCTATCTGCACATCTCTTCCCCAGACATCTTTATTATGAAATTTCCAATCATCTTCCTTACAAGTCCCTGACCCTCCAGCCAAACCATTGGTCACAGCTCATGAATTGGTATATAAACTCATACCTCTTGCCATTTCTCCTTCCAAGAAAAATGAACAGTCTGATACATTGCCCAAAGTTCTGTGAGGATTTCTTTTTATCACTGCCCTTCGGGGATGTCCCAGAAAGACACTGCTGTGCTCCAGTTGTCCTATTTTGAATGATGCTTATATATCATGCAAAACCATGTGTAAACTATGCTTAAGTTTCCTTTTCCTTAGTCAACTGATTATAGGGACTCCTCTTCCCTTATAAGGCTGTAGATGCTACCTAGAGAAGGTAATGTAACTGGAGTGGGGACCATCGGCATTTGGGCTACTTCTTCATGTACCTTACTTATAGCACTTCCATTTGATGATTGAGTGCTGCTGTGCACACCCAACTTTATGGCTTGGTGGGTCAGACAACACCCAGTTTATGAGGGGCAGTTCAGGTTTCATGGTAACTTGGTGAACCATGGTTAGAGTTCAGAATTTACTAAGGCCCAGTGTCAGGCTGTTTCTCAAAAGGATAGTAGTTATCCAAAGAGGATGGCAGGGCTTTGCTCCAAAGTTCTAAGGACCCATGCTGTGATTTACCTATAAGGCCTTGAAAAAGGCTCCAAAGAACATCAGCCACTGATACTTCAAGCATCATTGGATCTACTGGATGATATGACCCAATTGGAAGAGAAGCTTGCACAGCAGCCTGGACCTGTTGTAGAGCTTTCTCTTGTTCTGGGCCTTTCTTAAAAGTATTATCTTTTGGAGTCACTGGGTAAATAGGCTGAAGTAGACACTCAAAGTAGAAATAAGTTGCCTCCAAAATCCAAAGAGGCATCCTAGGCATCGTGCCTCTTTTTTGGTTGTAGAAGGAGCCAGAAGCAAAACGTATCCTTTATTTTATAAGGGATAGTGCAACGTGCCCCAAACCTCTGGACCCCTAGAAATCTCATTGAGGTGGAAAGCCTTTGAATTTTTGTTCGATTTATTTCCCACCCTGACACAGAAATACCTTACAAAAAGTATAAAGTAGTTGAGATCTCTACTTACTAGGTCAAATTAGCGTAATGCCATCAGTGTGACACCTTGTAGAAGAGAAAGGTGATCACGATCTCTGTAAACTAAATTATGATGTAAAGTTGGAGAGCTGATATACCCCTGGGTATATCAGTGAAAAACAGTGAAGTTATACTGCTGGCCTTGCTGGCTTGAAGCACACTACTTCTGGTCATGTTTACTAACAGGCATGGAAAAAAAAAGCATTTGAGGGATGAGTAGCTGCATACTAGGTACCAGGGAATGTGTTATTTTGCTTAGGCAATGAAACCATATCTGGAAGAGCAGTTGCAATTAGAGTCACTATGCAGTGAAGTTTATAGTAACCCACTGTCATTTTCTGGAAACTATCTGTTTTCTGTACAGACCAAATAGGCAAGTTTAATGGGAATATGATGGCAATTACCACCCTGCATCTTTCAAATTCTTGATGGTGGCACTGAAAATCTTCCAGAAATACAGTATTGTTTTTGGTTTATTATTTTCTTAGGTAGAGATAGTTCTAGTGGCTTTCACTTGGCTTTTCCTACAATAATAGTTCTGACTCTACAGGTCAGGGAACCAATGTAGGGATTCTGGCAGGTGATAATATATTCTAATTTTGCTTTCCAGAACTGAGTGGAATAACTGCAGGATAGATTCAAAGATGCACTGGACCTACTGCAAAATGTACCTGAACTAAGACTCCATTGATCACCTGACTTGCATAAGCCCTTACTCTGACCAGTAGATCACAGTGACATTCGGATCTCTTGGAGTTTGTATCATTCAGAACCAGTGTCCAGTAATTTCCCAAAGTCTAATTGTTTCCCTTTCTCCATTGCATAGTCAACTGGGTGAAAGGCTCCTAGCTTCCTTTGGGGGAAGGCTAGGAGAAAGATTAACAGTATCAACTTTTGGTAGTGTACCAGGGTCCTTCCTTAAAGTGATATGGCTTTCCCTTCATTCAAGGGATTCTGGTTCTGTAAACTGGCTCAAGTCAGGGAAATTATTAAGGAGCCGTGACTCTTTGTTTTGGTGATTCAATTTAGATTTCTTTTTACTTGACCTGGAACTCTTCTGCTTATATAAATCAAGTATAAATTTAGTAGACTTCCCATCTATTTTTCTTCTAGGGACACCATAATCCACTAGCCAGTGCCATAAGTGTCTGTGAATCAAACTATTCTGGTTATGTATTTGACTCTACTGTCCATTATGGTAATCACACCCACCTTGCCTTTGGCTGTTATGGGCCATCATCTGGTCCCTGCAACTCCAAGATCCAATTAGCCCTCTTGAAATTAAAGATCCCAGTTTAGTAGGTAATTTCTCACCTACAAAGAAGAGCAGCTACAGATCTATTTAAGGATGCTGGGGCTCCCTTCACAAATTTGTTTATTTATTATAGTTGTGGTGAAAGGTGTGTCCTCTGGACTCATCTAAGGTAGGGGAACAGGTCTTACATGACAAATCCACTTTAACATTTTGATTTCTCTAAGTCTTTGGATACCTTTCTTTGTAGTAAGCCAAGACGGTTATTATATTTCACCTTCTATTAGTGTACATCACCTTTTGGTACACGTTACAGCCAACCAGCAAAATTGAGAATGCTTTCTAATGCCTCAACATCAAGTCCAGAATCTCTGCTTAGTGGGCCCATTTCAGCGGAAAGTAAGTTCATTCCGCTTTTATCCCCAAGCTCTTCTTTGTGGGGACTTTTTGAGTACTAATTCAATATCTTATTTGTATAGACCTATTCATATTTACCATTTCTTTTTGTGTCAGTTTTCATAGTCTATTTTATTTAAATTATCTAATTGGTTGGCATATAGTTGTCCATAGTATTCACTTACAGTTTTTTTTATTTTGATAATGTCATTAGTAATGTTGCTTCTTTACTTCTGACTTAAGTAATTCAAGATTTTTCTCCTTTATGCTTAGTCTAGCTAAAGATTTGTCAATTTTGTTGAACTTTCAAAGGACCTACTTTTGGTTTCATTGATTTTCTTTATTGTTTTTCTACTCTTGTCTATTTATTTCTGCTGTAATCCTTTTGTTCTCTCTGTTTTTTGGTTTAGTTTGATCTTTTATTTCTTAAGGTGGAAAATTAGATTATTGAGTTTTTTTATTAACATAGACATTTATAGTTATAACTTCCTTCTAAGCTCTGCTTTTGCTATATACCATAAGTTTTTGTGTGTTCTGATTTTTTTTATCCATCTCAAAATGTTTTCTAATTTGTCTTGTGATTTATTTTTTGACCCATTAGTCATTTAAGAGTATGTTATTTTCCAGTTATTTGTGAATTATTCAAGTTTTTTTCTGTTATTAATTTCTAATGTAATTCTCTTGTAGTCAGAAAAATGTGCTTTATATGATTTCAATTATTTTAAATTTAGTGTAGCTTGTTTTATGGCCTACCATATGGTCTATCCTGAAAAATGTACCATATGGATTCAAAATAATATGTATTCTGTTTGCCGAATACCTCTTTATAGCTGTTTCCTAGATCTGTTTGGTTTATAATATTGTCCAAGTCTTCTATATCCTTGTGGATCTTATTTTTTTCTTTCCTTTATTGAAAGAGGGATATTGAAGTCTCCAACAAGAATTGTTTACTTTTCCTTTCAGTTCTTTCATTTTTGCTTCATGTATTCTGAGGTTCTGTTAGGTTCATTTTATGGTTGTAATGGTTATATCTTCTTGTTAGATTGAACTTTTTATTATAATATGTTCCATTTTCTCTCTAGTAACATTTTTGTTTGTTTTAAAGTCTATTTTGTTTGTTATTAGTATAGCCACTATAGCTTTCTTGTGGTTGCTGTTTGCATGGTATATCTTTTTTCCTCTTACTTTAAACTTACTTGTTTTTTTGAGTCTAAAGTATATTGTTTTAGTCAGCATATCGTTAGATCTTTTTTTAATCCAGTCTAACTACCTTTATTTTTTAATTTGACTGTTTAATCATTCTTATATAGTGCTCATACTAATATGGTTTAATTTATGTCTAATATTTTGTTTTCTATATGTCTCATCTTTTTTTTCCTTTAGTTTCTCCTTTAGTGCTTTTTTCCCCATTAAACAAATATTTTCTATTGTAACGTTTTAATTTCTTTATTGACTTTTTTCTATTTTTTTTGGAGATAGTTTCTTAGTGGTTGCTCTAAGGCTATAATATACATCTTATCAGGATCTACTTCGGATTATACTATCTTAATTCCAGTAAGAGATAGAAATATTATACCTGTAGAGTTCTATTCCCTACTCACTGTGTTTTGTATTATTGTCTCATATGTATATGTATATGTATATGTATATGTATATGTATATATATATGTATATGTATATGTATATGTATATGTATATATATATATAAACATGTTTATGCTATAAACCCATCAATACATTATTATAATTATTACTTTTTATAATTTTATATTTGTTAACAAAGATGAGAGAATAGAGAAGAGCAAGTATATTTTTTATAGAGTTTGTTATATTAATCTTTTTATTTACCATTTTTGTTCTCTTTATTTCTTCCTATGGATTCAAGTTACTGTCTAGTGTCATTTTCTTACTCCAATACAGCTTCGTTCCCACCTACTATTATTGTCAAATATATTATAGGTCCAATAATACAAATATATATGATATATGTGTTGTATATATGTTTAGATATACAACATATGATAGATATATGTTTATATATACTACATGTAATTTGTTTATATATGTTTAGGTATATATGTATATATCAGTTATGCAATTGTTTCTAAGCCAGTTAAGAGAAGAAAGAACAGATACGCACTTGCATTTTATTTTATGATTACCTATGTAATTACTTTGAGCAGAGCTCTTTGTTTCCTTGGGTGGATTTGAATTACTGTATGTTCCATTTGCACTTAGTCTGAAGCACTTCCTTTACAATTTCTGTAAGGTGGGTCTGCCAGCAATGAATCTTAGTTTTTGTTTACCTTGTATTTTTTAATATCTCCTTTGTTTTTGAAACATGATTTTGCTGGATGTAAAATTTTTAGTTGACAACTTCTTTATTCAGCACTTTGAATATGGCTGCCCCACTTCCTTCTGGTCACCATTGTTTCTGATAAGTCAGTTGTAAATCTTTTTGGGATTCCCTCGTATGCAAGAAATTATTTTCCTCTTGCTGCTTTCAAACTTTTCTCTTTGTCTTTTAACATTTTGACTATGATATGCCTGGATGTGAATTTCTTTGTGTTTATCCTGTTGGGAGTTTCATGAGCGTCTTGAATGTATAAATTAATTTAAAAAAAAATAATTTTAGGAAGTGTATTCTGAGGCTCTGCAAGGTTCATTACATATTTACAAAGGTTATACTTTTCTATCAGATTGACCTTTTAATTATTATAATATGTTTCATTTTTTGTCTCTAGTAATTTTTTTTGTTGTTTTAAAGTCTATTTTGTTTGTTATTAGTATAGCCACTGCTGCTCTCTTGTGGTTGTTATTTACATGATATATCTTTATATACTATATATAAGTGGGATGGGGTGGTCATTATTTCTTCAAAACTTTTTCTAGTCCTTTCTCTTTTCTTCATCTGGTGCTACCATTATGCATATATTGTTACACATAATGGTGTCTCATATCTCTCAGGTGCTCCATTTATTTTTTCCTCATCCTCTTTCTCTCTGTTGGCTAGCTCTTTCTTCTGCCAGATGAAATCCATTATTGAGCCCCTGTAGCGAATTTTTCATTTTATTTATTGTACTTTTTAACCCCAAATTTCTATTGGATTCTTTTTATTAATTTCTAACTCTATTTATATTTTCTATTTAATATGACACTGTCATCATACCTTCCTTTGATCCTTTAAGCACTATTTCCCTTCATTATTTTAACATATTTGTAATAGTTGCTTTGAAGTGTTTGTCTAGTCAACATATGGCTGTCCTCAAAAGCATTTTCTGTTGTCTGCTTTTATTCCTGTGTATGGATCAAGCTTTCATATTTTTTGCATATCTTGTAATTTTTTTTTAAAACTGAGCATTTCAGATAATATAGCTACTTTGAATACTGATTGCTCCTTCCCCTAGGCGGGGCGGGGCGTGGTTTGATGTTGTTTGCTTGGTTGCTAGTTTCTTTGTTTAAGTGACTAGGTTGGACTGGTTTGGAGAGGTATATTTCCTGGAGTAGTGTAAACCTTTGATGTTTTTCCTTAGACACAGTCTTGGGCATTTTTATCATCAGAGACAGAGTGGTTTTAACCCTGTTCTCTTTGTCTTTCTCTAACCTCCCTGTAAGCTTCTTTCTGACTGATCTGTCTCTGTTGGTATAACACCCAGCTGTTACACCACTAATTGCTAGCTGATTGCTCTATTGTTTTCTACAATGTTTTGGGGGCATATATCACTTCACAGTTTGATTAACTTAAAGTCAGGGCCTTTGCAAAAGTGAGTTTTTGAGGCCAGTTTTTGAGGCTTTTTTCAAGCACACCATAGCTCATCTTAGCTGTCTCTCCTTCTTCCTGGTTCTCTTTACTAAACTTCCAGCTGATTTATCATTTTGCTTATTGCTATCCTGGAGCCATAAGCCTTCTCTTATTGCTTAACCAACAAAATCTTTACTATTTATAAACATGGTTTTCGGCTTGAGCTTCCCAATCTCTATTGCACGTAAAGTCAGTCTTTTTAGGGAGATAATGGAGCTCAGCTCTATGCTTCCCCTTCTGACAGAACTTCTGTACGACTGCTCTGGAGCTGGAGTTGGGTCAATGGTCCACTTCTCTTGGGCTGATATCCTTGCTCCATGACCACAACTCTGGTCATGGTGGTAATCTCTGGTTTTCTTGTCTTATCTCTTCAGCTAAAGAGTCTCCACCACACAAGTGAACTAGGGTGAGGGTGATCTGAGCCAAGTATTCTGGGCTGGCTATTCCTAGGGTAGAATTGAGTGTAGGCTGGTTGGAGTGTAGGCTGGTTGGAGGAAGGGAGCCCCAGACCTCCGTCTTTTACTCTTCTGCAGTAGAGCTTCTGAAACAAGAAGCTGGGGTGTGAGGAAGGATAGAAACTGCTGGAAATCTGCTCCTCCCAAGGGGAAACTATACTCTTAGACCAAAAGCTGGGGGAGAGAGAGTCCTGTCTTCCTGGCTACAACTGCTAATGGTAGAGCTTCTTTCACACTGAGCCGGTGCAGGGATGGGGTGGGGAGAGCCACGTAAGGGGTGGCTTGTGGCTCAAATAACACAGGCTCTCACTGTCTTACTGAGATTTAGTATATTTTCTTGAATAAATGTTTCTTTGTTTTCTGTGTTCCTTTAGGACAATTTCCAGAGACTTTAGATGGTTGTTTTTATAATTTTCATCAGTCATGGTTATTTCACAGGGGAAAGTGGTATGGTCTGAATCCCCTAAATCCATATCTTGAACTCTAGCTCCCAAGCATAATGATATTAGGAGGTGTGGCTTTTGGGAGGTGATTAGGTGGAGCCCTCAGGGATGGGATTAGTACCTTATAAAGGAGGCTCCAGAGAGATTCCTAACCCTTTCTACCATGTAAGAATGCAACAAGAAGTCTGTGTCCTGGTAGAGGACCCTCACCACCATGCTGGCACCATAATCTTGGACTTCTAGCCTTCAGAACTGTGAGCAATAATAATAATTTTGTTGTTTAAAAGCTATCTTGTCTGTTGTATTTTGTTAT